TCGCGTACACGACGAACGGAAGTCGGCCGCTAAGGTAGCAACGGACTCTATTCCGGGCTTCCCGATTCCTGAAAGCCCGAGGGTGCTGCAAGCTCGACTCTATTGATTTCCCGCGTTAAAGGGAAACGCTTGCTACGCAGTAGGCAGTTCGCTTTGTACACCGAAAATCCAGACGCGAGAGCTTCCTCGCGATACTTCCTATTGTATTTTGACGTATATTCGCCTCGTACGAATTCTCGTGAAAAGGAAGGCTGCTTACATAAACTTAATGTTGAAATTATGTAGTTACTAATTAGCGAAACTTATATTTCCTCTTTAGGAGAACTTATTTACAAAATAAAAAGGATTCTACAAAAAAAAAAAACAACACAATGTGCAATCATACTTTCATATTCATTCCCGATCATATTTTTATTCGAATGGATGTAGATGAAAAAATTCTTGACTTAAGGATTACCTCCGACTACTTTATTTTCTCCCACCAAGGGCATTTGTGTGGCAACAAAGCAATTCTGAAACGTATGAGAAGTATAAATTATTATCTCGGTTGCGCGATATATACAACATCGACGTGATGTCACTGGGTTTCGTTTAAGATATCTGCGCGATAATCGATAATCGATGTCCCATTTTCCGTACTCCAGCGCTTATCTACGAGCTCGGGGTAACACAATAACCGCTCTGATAACGACTTCGAGACAACAATATCGATACATCCCCATCTCAACGCGCTATCGACGAAAATCGAAAAATTTAATATGAAAATATGCGGTCTAAATGATCCATGATTGTAATAAATATCCTATCGTTCGATCGTTCCGACTCGAGAGAGAGAGAGTCCAAATGCGATCGTGGATATTTGTCTGGTTTACGCGACGCGCGTCGCGGATACGCGCGTTACGAAACGCGGCACCGAGGTGCGATTACCGCCGGCGGTTTCCTTTAGGAACGGAACATCGACCCGATTCCAATTACGGTTTACCATGTGACGGCCGCAAGCGCTATCGTCACGCGCGTGGAAGATGTTTGCCACCGCGCGCGAGATTATCGCGCCTTAATTCGTGACTCGGTCGCGCCGCGAATCATTTCGCCGATAAGTGCTTTGCAAAACATCGTCTACCAGTTACCGCGACGTTGCAGAAATTTAGATTAGCGCCAGCTCAGCGAATACGTCGCAATAAATACCGGATGTAAAATGCATGCGTTAATATTGCCGATATTTCCCTTCTTCGAGCGTTCGGGCCGAATGCGATACACACTACGAGAAATGCGTTCTAAAGAAGAAAAAAATTTGAGAGATTTTGAAATTCGGACAAATTTTGTCTTGGGTTTTTTTTTTTTTTTTGGTAGTGTGGCACTCATGTCGCACTGTTGCGCCTCTTCTCTTTTCTTCATTGTTAAATAAAGTAATGTATAAAAGAATATAATTTAGAGTAAAACAATTTTTTTTAATTGCGAATTTATAAAATAAATTGTGCGTTCTTCGAAGGAGAAAAAAGTGAAACCGTAAAGTCTAATAATTGTATATAATGTAAAAAATAGATTGCCCGAGAAATCAAGTCAATTTCGTTATAATGACTTAAGTACGTTATGTAAGATATTATATGCAGAATATAAAAGCACGTCGATACACCTACTGTTTATGATACTTGCTGATCGTAAACTATGCAGTATGTTTAATAATAGAACGAAATTGGATTTCACTCACCACAACGAGCGCGTGCGTCAGAGCAGTCGATGACCTCGACCTCCTTGGTGTCATGCCGACGACCTCGCCCCTCATGATGCTCTCGACGACTGCATAAGAGAGGAAAAAAATACTTTCAATATGCCTCGCAATTATTACACTTATTTGCTGAAAAAGTTAGAAAATTATAATCAAGTATATATTAAACATTAACTTGAAAAGGTAAAATCATATTCACGAATGCGATAATTTTATAATTGACAAATAAAACAATATTCAAGAAATGTTAATAATAGTACTGTAATGTTACAATTGTCACTAAAGGTATGGAAGATAACGTTTAAAAAATTTCTGTAACATTATATTTAATTTTCTAATCTTATATAAGCAATATTCTGAAATAACAGTAATATAACACTGACTGTTTTCATACAAAACTCAGCTTTATTTCCCGATTATTTAATCGCTACGTTATTTATTTAATATTACTGTGTATTTTATCATATTAACGTTTCTCACCTCCGTCGCCAATCAGTCGCATTTGTACTAACGTAGGATCCTCGTTGTGGTCTTCAAGAACCGTGTCGTCAGTGACAGTCAAATCCTGAAATAAAAATCAGATAATGACCAGAAACAACAACGAATTAGAAAGAAATAATATTTCTAAATCACGAGCAGATCCCCATATGGTGTTTTCAGCGTTAATATTTCTATTAATGACAAACAAAATTGAAGCAGGCATTAATCTATCACACACATTTATCTTCTCTTTCCGTTTATATTAATCCATCATTAACTCAACAGACTATCATAAATATTTGCTAGTGACGGCGATACGAGTCGAGACGCTCAATTATTTCCCAGGTTCGTCGATCTCGAGTCTTGAGGGCGACTTCATTTGCAGTTTCTAAAAATTTAACAATGGTAAATGGATGTTAATCGTCGATTCTTCCGAGAAATTTGGTGCGATTCGTTCGCCCGGCCGCAAAGTGTTTATCTGCCAATTCGCGGGATCAGAGATCGGCCGATCGATGGTCTGGCTTCTCGTTAAGACCTGTCACGATCGACGCCTCTCCTTGTCAATACGTTTAACTGATCAGCGACGAGACATAGCTGTCTGCCAGTCGCGAGACACGCGCTTGAAGCGATGTGCGATCGCGACCGCAGGCCATTTGTGTAGATTTCTGTCGATGCGATTTCTGGCGGACTTTTTCCCATCTCGCTTGTCGACAGTATCGACATCTTAACTATCGTTAAAGATAGGAACTTTCGTTGTTCGTACAAAATTTAAATTCTCTATAATGCAAAAGATACGATCGAGTCTGCAACGTTGGCGAGATGCAACTGTAATATAATTAAAGGGAAAGCGGAGAGATACGTTTGCAAAATGTCGATTGAAAAAAATTTCTTCCTATTCTTTTCTTCCTTTTCGTTTGTGTTATTTTTTTCGTTTAAAGTGAAATGACAATACGAACTTTCACATTCATATGAATTTATTTTGCAATAATAAAGACAATATATACATTTATTATTGCGTAATTTAATGTCTTTCCTCATTGCCTCGCCATATTATCATTAAAATCTTTGCGAGACAAAATTAGAATGAGGAATATTCGAATAAACTTCAACAGGCAATCGATTCCACTCCGATGATACTCTAGAAATATTCGAGACAGACGTATATGCAAAGAGAATAAAGTGAAAGGAAAGAGAAAAGGAAAAAAAAAACGCGCGAGTGACAAAAGCTTTCTCAGACAACCCAACCGATATTTTATGTTCCTTCGCCCTTCGATCTCCGCACCTTTTCCGGAACGTTTTCTCGCCGTGGACTATTTCAGGGATTTAGTTTTCCAATAGGAATGCTGTGCCAGTATGCCAGGATAAATTATCGGAAGCTTTTTCGCCGAGAGACAAGACGAGGAGGATTACTATCGCGACGACGCCAGTTCATTCGTTCCTCTATCTTGAGATGTTTAAAATATATAAAAACGATAAAAACGTTGGAAATATCGACCGCGATAAAAAATTGACTCGTTTAGACTACTCTGAAACGCATTATCTGGCTTCCTAAACTGTTGAAACAAATCAGCACATCATGTCTTCGTCATATAACATATTTTAACAAATATGAAAAAAATTATACGAAACTATACTACCAAAATTTTTTTAAATATTTAATACAATAAATATTAGCAAATCAAAATAAAGATAGGATATGATTTTAAAATAATAAGAAAAAACAAATTGATAAAATATGGACTATCAATGTCGATTTCGAGAAAATTAGAAAAGATCATAATATGAAATATTGAAATTATGACATTTGTGTTACAACTCTATAATTTTCTCCGAAACAGAAATATATCAAATTTAGAAATTCATTGAAATGATTTTGACAAATTATTCAGATTAGATTAATAACTGATTCTAATAATAAACTTAATTGCTTAATGTTTAATAGATGTCTAATTGCATGCAGTTATGAAAATTGACACCCTTCAAATTCTGAGATTTAAAATTCAAATTAATTCAAACTAATAATAAATCTTCGCGCAATCTAATCATCGAGTGTACAAAATAAGATTTAATATTTTATTCTTGTGACATTTTTATAGTGTTTGATACACAAAAAAGCGCTAAAATAGATACATTAAATTAAAAATATATCGTTACCAATTTGAACAGGCAATATTTCCGATTTCCGGATCGAGCTCTTTCAAAAAGATTAACTCGTGTGAAATAAAAAAAATTTTAAATTTGATAGGCGTTGCCAAATTTAACATCAGATTCTAAATCGAACGGAAATCACGGAATAAAAGTTTCTCAAAAATTATTTTCACTAATAATATCACGCATAATATTCATTATCTGACCAAGCTCACCTTGGTGGACTCGTTGTAACCGACAATCACGGCTGTGTACCATTGCGTGGTGCCTTCCGCCCGATAAACTTCGACCCTGAAGCCGACCAGGACGCTGGGCGTAGTCAGCAGGATCCTCTGACCATCCTGCATCTCAGCCCATCTCCTAACAGCGTTTCCCCAGGGCATCGCGCCCTTAGTCAGCTCCCAGTCCTGCTGCAAAGATGAGCAAAAAAGAACGAGGTTGAAGCCGTGGAACTTGATTAAGAAGAGCGGACTGTTCTCCGCTCGAAGAGAAGCTGTCCGCTCCGCGATTTTGGAAGGAAAAATAACGAAGGAGAAAGAATCGGCGCAATTTGATAAAAGATAACAAAGGGGATAACAACTTCACGGAAAGCTGAGCGCATGAGATTTTATTCCTCCAAAGTCCAAAAAACAAGTTCCAACTTGTGCTGTACTGTTTTATTTTACCTATAATTTTAGGTATAATTGATTAACGTATAATTTTGATTGATTCAAATGTGAGCTCGATATTCAAACTTCAAACTTCGTTAATAATTTTACAAATTTTAGAAATGCTTCAAGTAAAAATTAAATTAATTCAGTAAAATTAATTTGCATTATATTATTCGTATTGCTGTTGTTATGTGTTAAATAGTTAATTAGGCACTTTATTCTTTCGTAGATCGCTGATTTTCTTTTTATTTTCTGTATCGTTAATATGATTATAGCATGACACAAAAATAACGAGGACAGCGAAAACAATACGCTGAAACCTGAAATATCAAATTTGGCTAATCGGAATCCAAAAATGTGTTATCACATTCGCTACGCGATCAATAGCCGATATACCAAACGTTTTATTCACACTCATAAGAGTGGCGTCTGTCGAGAAATTAGATCCGATGAAACAGAAATTAGCATTCGAATATTTAATATCCTTTTGTTATCGAATCTATAATTGGATATCTCGATAATTTCCAGCAAATTAGAGCGCCAATTGAAATGTGGCATTGAAAAACGTTAATTACATCACGTCTGGCTTCTCAAGCTATAAATAGAAAAATTGTAACTAATTAATACATAATTTCTTTTGTTGTCTACATACAGCGCTCATCAACAAACTAAATTTTATACAACGAGCGAATGAATGATTATAACTTTTAAATAATAATGTCATTTCAAAGATGACAAATAAAATTGACGGAAAAAATTTAATTTGCGAATCAAAACAATTTTCTGATTCATACAACTTCGTGTGCTGCTCCCAAAATTGAGATCTTTTTATTAATTTTGCACATTCGATTTGAAAATGCTATATTATTTTCAGAAAGAAAGTCGGGGAGAATTTTAAAACACAGTATTTAGCTTTTAAAATGTTTCTTTGAAACTTCTATAATTCTTGTTATAATATAAGTTATATAAGATTGTATTTCGTCATTTTTATTACTGATTCAAAGTGATGAACAGTGCATTTATAAATAACGTAAATTGTAATAATGAGAGCTTTCTGCAAGACATAGATTTAAAGACGATGAGACAAAGAGAGAGAGAGAGAGAGAGAGAGAGAGAGAGAGAGAGAGAGAGAGAGAGAGAAAC